CGCTTGGGAACCCCTGCCATTGTCATTGACATGCCTCGTGCTAGGTTGCTGGCGACTTTGGGTCTGCCAATGACTCCGTGACACCCCCCTCCAACCCATCACCCGCTGCCTCTCATCCGACCCCTGCCCTTCGGTGGTGTGTCGTCCTATTGTTGTGCCTGCTCAAGACCCTCCCATGGTTGTCGTTGCGTTGCTTCCTCGTCGAGCCCTTTGCCACCATCCTTCCGCCTTTGCTCATCATTTGTGTGCCATCCATGTTGGTGTGTTCTTCTTCATGTGTTTCTCTTCGTTTGTCCTTCGTGTGGTCTCCACCCTGTTGTTGTCATGCTCAAGACCCTCCCATGGTTGCTGTTGTGCTGCGGCGAGCTTCGGGCTCTTGGTGTTGTCTCGGTTCACTTTTGCTCAATGACGACGCAATGATGCCTCCCCAACCTGCTAATCGTCTCGACCGCGCGTGGAGGATCTCCCAGTCAAGGTTCGTGTTAAGGTTTGGCACTCGTTGATTATAGATGATCCTTTGGTGTGCCGTGGGGCTCGGTATGCACGCTGGTGTGGTGCGTTAGGTTGTTTGCTGAGTCTTGGTATTGTGATCCCTCGACAGCACCCTACATCTACTTGTGTCTCTCGTGGTGTTGGCCTTTCTGCCTGCTAGATAGGCCGTGCCTTCTCTTGGGCGTCAATTTTTTTCTCTTCTTCTGTAACCTTGTTACATGTACGGTTTTCGGCCCGGTTTCTCTCATAAACGGGGTCAACTTGTTTAGATTTTTGATCTGGTTTTCCTTATAAATTGGATCAACCAAAGCTTAAGGGGTGACTCTTGGCTTTGACAGCTTTTTGAGCAATATATTCAGGTGGGGATCTTGTCACCTGATTTTGACCAGATCAATAGTTTTTTAAGGAGCTCTCACATTTAATTATTTTAATTCACCATATTCTCTAATTTTGAAGCTCTTTTGTTTGATTGAGATATTCGATTTTGAATTTGGTTTACGATTTTGATCTGTCCAACGATTTTTTAAATCAATCAACACCAGCCTGCTAAAAAACATATCAACCCCGTGCACCCTCTTACCACCTAGAAAAAAGAATCGCCACCATGTGATAATACTATAGCACCAATATAGTACATGTAGCCATCGATGGAGAAATTTATCCACAGAAGTGTGAGTTGATTAACGCATAACATAGAATCACGCCATGAAAGGCCCACAAATAACCGCATTATAAATAAAGATAAAACACACGCACCATCATCTTCCCCATCCGTGAAACTAAATATTCCGTCAGTTCCAAAATACAAGGGGTATTAGCTCTTTGAAAAATCAAATTTCTTTAACTTTAACCAACTTTAGAGCCAAAAATATCGACATCCACAATATTAAGTCAAAAAATTATGAAAATTCATTTCATGATGAATTCAATAACACCAATTTGATATTACGAATTTTGATATATTTCTTCATAAATTTGATCAAACTTAAAGAGATTGGACTTTTCACAAAAGTAATACATCTTATATTTTAAAAGAAAATGAGATTATTTTTTTAAGAATCTCAACAATACCAAGGACACAGCAAAGCACGCCAACCCTTCTAATACTATAGTAACCATGAAAATTTAATTAATCTTGGACTGGGCAAGGAAAAAAGACCTTCATTACTGAGAGCAAAGCCGTGGACGTACCTAAGGAATCAGCATCGGAGTGCACATGTACATGTAGTAGACTTGCAGCAAGAAAGATCAAGAAGCAAGGTATCGTGCAACCCATCGATCTATTCAAACCCATCCTCTGCCCTCGGAGCCAGCCAGAGGGATGCAATGCAGCTAGCAATGGGGTATCGACCATAGTTATATAAGCAAGACGCCTTCAGATAGGACGGCCGAGAGACCCTAACTGGGTAGCTGTATGCACAGGGTTGTCAAAGTCCGCGGTCGCGATCGACAGTGATAGTAGCCTGATCACTTCCAGATTATAACATGACGGTTGATCCCGTCCAAGTCTATACCCAGTACTACAGGGGCGTCTAAGCGTGCAATCCGGGCGAGATGTTCAGTCCACCCATCCACCGCTGAACCGTGTCTTGCACAGTTGCACCGGAAGGACGCAAAATACCCAAGACTTTGACTTGCAGGTATACCCTGGATTTCCTAGGGCTCAGGGCATCTCCAATCGCAAGCTCTTAAAATGGACTGACGTAAATGTCCACACGTGGCGGGTCACAACGTAGTTGCTTTTGGTTGGACATGCAGATCTCTACACGTCCGCAAAACATCCTTAAATTTGCAACCAGGTCCGTGAATATTTAGGGGATCCCGTTGAATGGTAAAAACGATCTAGACACTGCGGTCCAGACATACAGAAGCTTCGAGAGTCTTTTTTAGAGATTTGCTCACCAGCTTGCAGAAAATGAAGGCGCAATATGCATTGATTTTTCCCCATCCGTCCGATATATGTATGGCTGATTATGGAATTCGGCAACCACCGTGTTGCCGCAATCGCTGCAGAAAACACTAGTAGTATATCAAAGTTACTAGAGGAGCGAAATAAGTGAGTTGGCTGATGGAGTACATGTCAATTTTTCTTAACATATCGTGCGTTATGCATCGATCAATGCATTGTGAAGCATTGCCAAAACTCTCGTTTTCAACATGGTATCATACCTATGATCCTAACCCTAACCATCGCCGCCGCCGCCGCGATCTAATCGCCGCCACCACCCGCCGCTGCTGCCGCCACGTCCTTACGCCGCCGCGCCGCCGCCCACGTGTGCAGCCGCCCTCCCCCTCTCCACGCTTCCGCCCGCCTCACGCCGCGCCGCCCCAAGCCGCGCCGCCCTTCCCGCGTGCCGCCGCACCCCCCTTCCCTCTCGGACTCATGGCCTCCCCCGGTTCCTCCGGCACCACCCGCAGCCGCCGCACCAATCCGTTCGACGATCCCGACCCCGTCGTCATCCGCGATCTCAACATCCTCGCTCGGGTTCCCATCGTTCTCGATCATATCTCCTCCACCTACTATGCCTGGAAGACATACTTCTCCCTTGTGTTCAGTGAGTACAACCTCCGGGATCACATCGATAGCTCTGTGGATTCCCGCTTCATGGAGGACGATGAAGAGTGGACGTCCATCGATGCCACTCTCATCCGTTGGTTCTACACCACCATCTCGAAGGACCTCTTCCACACGGTGGTCTCCGCCGACGATGATGCTCACACCGTTTGGACCAAGCTCAACGGCCTCTTCACCGACAACGCGCTCCAACGCAAGGTTTTCTTGCACGGCGAGTTTTTTGGGTGCCAGCAGCTTGACTCGTCTGTTGACGATTATTGCATGCGCCTCAAGAAGCTCGTTGACGAGCTCCGCGACCTCGATGAGAAGGTCTCCGACGAGCTTCTTCTTAGCACCCTCATTGCCGGCCTGAACGATGACTTCGGGAACGCCGCCTCCAACATCCCTCTCATCACCAACCCGACCTTCCCCAAGATCGTCGCGTACCTGAAGCTGGAGGAGAGGAGGATGCGGATGTCGCGCACCTGGGCCACCGACATGGCCTTCACCACCGGTACCCGCGGCGGCGCGCCGCCCACCGCCCCGGCTCCCCCGTCGCGGCCTGCCCCGGGCCCCTTCCAGGCGCCGCCGCCGCCCGGGTTCCCCTACCCGCAGCCGCCGCAGGCTCCCCCGCCGCCCCCCGCCGAGCAGCAGCAGCGCCACGTTAGCCGCCGTGACCGCGGCGGCCGCAAACAGCAGCAGCAGCAGTCGGCTGCCCACGGCGGCGCGCCGCGCCACCCGCAGCAGCAGCTCCCGTCGGCGCCCTGGCAGGCTGGCCAGAACCCCTGGACGGGGGTCGTTCACGCGTACTCCATGCTTGTACCGTGCGCCCCTATCCCCGACTTCTTCGGCGCCCGCCCAACCTCTCATCAGGCGCTTCACACAGCTCCTCAGTCGTACGCGCCCGCGCTGCCCTACGGCCCCTCTGCGGCCTATGGGCTACCTTCGGCCGGTGGGTTCGCGGCGCCGCCGCCACAGCCATTGCCGTTGGCCCCGGCCCTTCCGCCGGCGCCTTGGTGTAGGATCGAAAGTATGTCTAGAGGGGGGGGTGATTAGGCTACTTGACCAAATAAAAATCTAGCATTTTCCCAATTTTAATTCTTGGCAGATTTTAGCAACTTAGCATAAGTCAAGCAAACAACCTACACATGCAATTCTAAGAGTATAGCAGCGGAATGTAAAACAATTGCATATGAAGGTAAAGGGAGGAGTTTGGAGGGAACAAATGCAATGTAGACACGGAGATTTTTGGCGTGGTTCCGATAGGTGGTGCTATCGTACATCCACGTTGATGGAGACTTCAACCCACGAAGGGTAACGGTTGCACGAGTCCACGGAGGGCTCCACCCACAAAGGGTCCATGAAGAAGCAACCTTGTCTATCCCACCATGGCCATCGCCCACGAAGGACTTGCCTCACTAGGGTAGATCTTCATGAAGTAGGTGATCTCCTTGCCCGTACAAACTCCTTGGTTCAACCCCACAATCTTGACGGAGACTCCCAAGTGACACCTAACCAATCTAGAAGACACCACTCTCCAAGAGGTAACAAATGGTGTGTTGATGATGAACTCCTTGCTCTTGTGCTTCAAATGATAGTCTACCCAACACTCAACTCTCTCTCATAGGATATGATTTGGTGGAAAGATGATTTGAGTGGAAAACAACTTAGGGAAGGCTAGAGATCAAGATTTATGTGGTTGGAATGAAGTATCTTAACCTCAACACAAGTGTAGGGGGTTCTCTCTCAGAAAATGTATGTTGAAAGTGTAGGCATGTTCTGATGGCTCTCTTCACGAATGAAGAGTGGGTGGAGGGGTATATATAGCCTCCACACAAAATCTAACCGTTACACACAAATCACCAAACTCAGTGGGACCGAATCATACAACTCGGTCAGACCGATTTAGTTCATAATGTGACAGTTAGGGTTTTCGGTGGGACCGACATCTCAACTCGGTGGGACCGATATCATTAGGTTTAGGGCATAACGTAATCTCGGTGAGACCGATTACACAAACTCGATGAGACCGATTTTGGTAATAGACTAACCAGAGAGTTGGTCAGGCAATCTCGGTGGGACCGATTCTCTCTCTCGGTAGGACCAAAACGTTACGAAAGGGAAACAAAGAGTTTGCACTGCAATCTCGGTGGGACCGATCGCTCATCTCGGTTGGACTGAAACATTGCGAAGGGAAACAGAGAGATTACAATCCCGTCTCGGTGAGATCGAGATCCCTATCGGTGGGACCAAAAAGACTGTGGCAGTGGCTATGTCAAGTGAACTCGGTGGCGCCGAATAGATCAAATCGGTGGGGCCGAGTTTGACTTTTGGTTTGGGATATATATTTGGATATGAGAAAGTGGTTGAGGGTTGTGGAGCATATCACTAAGCACTTTGAGCAAGAACCTCATTAAGCAACACCTCATCCCCTCTTAATAGTATTGGCTTTTCCTATGGACTCAATGTGATCTTGGTTCACTAAAAAGAAAATGTAGAGTCTTGTGCTTTGAGCTTGAGCCAATCCTTTTGTCCTTACCATTTTGAGGAGTCCACTTTCTAATCCATGCCATGCCAATCATTGAGCTTTTCCTAAAATATTTATCTTCAAGTAGCATTAGCTCAATGAGCTATATGTTGTTAGGAATTACCAAAACCACCCAGGGATAGTTGCACTTTCAATCTCCCCCTTTTTGGTAATTGATGACAACATATAGATCAAAGCTTCGACAAATGATTATAAGATTGAAAAACATCATCACTTTGAGAAGTATGTGATAAGCAAGAGCTCCCCCTAAATTTGTGCATTATTTAAAATTGGCTTTTGAATGCAAATGCACAATCGATTAGGATCGTGGGTTACTCTTCCATGTCACATACATCTTGGTGGAACACTCAAAATGATAGAAATTAAAAGCATGCACTCATCACCAAGGAAGTGAATGATCATATATGGAATATAAAGGATATCATCATTCAACCAAACATTAAGGTAGCATATGATCAACCACATGATCATATAAGCATCTCACAAGGACATAAAGTATCTCACACAAGCACACAATAAAGTAGTTCAACCAAAATAGCAAGAGAGATATAAAGCAAGACACTCTCTTGAAGCCTATGATCTATACATATTTCTCCCCCTTTGGCAACAAGTTACTAAAAAGTTTGAAAACGCATAGTGCTATACGTCACTCAGGCTTGGTCTTCGGGAGGTGGTGTAGATAGAACTCCAAGGACGAAGGCTTCCGATGAAGTAGTCGGAGTTGATGGAGTGGGTGCTGGAGGTGGCACTGGAGCTGTAGCTGCTGGTGCTGACACTGAAGCTCTAGCATATGAGACTGGCACTACAGCAGACCTTGGACCTTGTGGCACACGCTTGAAAGCATCAGTGGTTGCTTTTCCTCTCCTCTCCTCTGCTTCCTCCTGAAGCTGCTCAACTGCAATCTAAATCGCAGTCACCTTCAGATCAAGATCATAGAATTTTGTTTCCACAATCCTCTCCAGGCTTTCCTGTTCCCGAGTCAGGGTGGCCAAGCCCTTCTCAATCCTCAGTGTAGCTTGAATCAGATAGCCTAACTGATCTTGCTTGCTCTTCAGGAAGACTCGAGATGCCTCTTCAACACTTGGCATCTGGGCAGCTTTCTCAACCTTTTCCTTGGCTATCTTCTCCTGGACTTGAGCTGATGATGGTTCTTCCTCATTCATCACAACAGTGTTGTCTTCAAACTCAGGATATAGAGGTAGATGCTCCTTGTCCAGTAAGTAAGTCCATGTGCCCATTTTAGAGCTGATGA